TTTTTTTTGTTTTTCAAGGGTTAATTTCACAAACGGTCACTGAAGTTATCTGAAAATCACGAAACGGCCACTAAAGTTTAAATTTCTTTCACAAACGGTCACTGAATTTTCAGATTTTTTGGGCAAGTTTTGCGGCGATTTTTCGACAACTTCTGACCACCAAGACCACCGGATTTGGATACCGTTGGAAAACCCACAATATCCTCTTCAATTACCATAAAAAATCTCTCCATAACTCCAAGGAATTCGGTCGAAATATACCCATGAAGTCGGCTACCGAAAAATCTGAAAATCTGCCCAGCAATTTTTTGGGCGAGTTTGCGGCAATTTTCCGACAACTTGCTACCACCAATACCACCGGTTTCAGATACTGTTGGAAAGCCCGCAATGTCCTATTCAATTACCACGAAAAATTGTGGGTAGTTGATTTTGTGGGTTTATTCCGGCTGAATCCCTTGGAGTTATGGGGAGATTTTTGGTGGTAATTGAAGACGACATTGTGGGCTTTCTAACGGTATCCGAAACATGCGGTATTGGTGGTCGGAAGTTGCAGGAAAATTGCCGCAAACAAGCCCAAAAAATCTGAAAATCTGGATTTTTAAATTTTTCGATAGCCGACTTCGTGGATACATTTTGGCCAAATCCCTTGGAGTTATGGGGAGATTTTTGGTGGAAATTGAAGAGGATATTGTGGGCTTTCCAACAGTAAATCCGACGGTTTTGGTGATTGGAAATTGCTGAAAAATCGCTGCAAAACTTGTCCAAAAAATCTGAAAATTCAGTGATCGTTTGTGAAAGAAGTTTAAACTTCAGTGACCATTTCTGCAAGTTTTAAAATTCAGTTACCGTTTTGTGATTTTCAGATCACTGATTGTGAAATTAACTCTTTGATTCAATATTTTAAGTTATAAATATTTGTTTTAAGCGATTTAAAATTTGTTGGAAATGTTGAAGTGCTGCTATGATAAATAAATGATTGATAAATTTTAAATATCAAAAATAATTTTACATTAATTGTGAAACGTAAACTCGTGATTGTTTATGTTTTTTTTCAATTCCGACCCCATTTCAAAGTCATTTTTTCGAATTTTGTTTTCGTACAATTTTTTGTTTGATTCGATATTTCACGATATGAATATTCATTTTGGATCGATTTAATTTTTTTAAAAAAAACTTAAAATGTGATGATGATAATAATAATAATAATAATAATATTATCGATTAAGTTTAAATATAAAAATTATCTTAAATTATTAAACGTAAAATCATAATCGTTAATTTTTCTTTTATACCCCATCCTCAACCTCCATACTCACACAAATTTCTCTCAATTTCATTTTTCTTCAGTTTTTATGTTTGGTTCAATATTTTACACTACAAATGTTCATTTTCAGCTATTTAAACTTTATTCAAGAGTTTAAAGGGCGATCATGATAAATATATGATTGATAAAGTTTAAATCACAAAAATTATCTTGCATGAATTATTAAACATAAAATCATGCTTTTCAATTTTCCTTTGAAATCTTGAAATGCAACTATGATAAATATATAGGAATTATTTATCTTTTTATGGGAATTATTGCTATCTTTGTTTATAATTTACTTGCTTGCAAACTGTATAGAAATTTTTAGCTGAAATAAATTGGAATTATATTTTTCTTTCAATTAATATGTCGAAAACAAATTAAGGATTTTCTAATGAATTTTTTTTTCTTTTTTCATTAAAGGAAAAAACACTTGCTACTCTGAAATGATCTTCTTTCTGTCATGTAGTGATGGTTAATAATCTCTTGTGCTTGTTATTTGGAAGCATGTTACTAAATTTATTAGGATTTAGAATACGAGGATATGTGATATTGATAAATATTCTGGATGTATGCTTCTTAGATTTGATATTATTAATGCGACTATATTTCAGTAATTATAGAATGTTATGGTAATAGTTTCAAAAGTGAGTACATGTTTTATTATTTGTACTTCCTGTTTACTACTTTGACCCAAATGATTATGGTAAATCTTTTGGAATTTATGATGTGATTTTTATGGTTATAGGCTTCCTTAATTTACTGATTTGGCTAACTTTATTTGGTCAATTAAAAATGGTAAATTTATGGCGTCAGAATGAATATTGAAGGAACACAATATTTTTCAGAAAAATTGTCCTACATCATACAGTGCTGGTAGACAAACATCTTCTATGAAGTGAATAATTTTGATTTTTTCTTTTACAACCACGTTATTAAGTAGCCAATTACGCTGATAGCACGTGCATTGCACATGCGTCTGATTAGTTTATATATAGAAGTCAAAAGTTTGAACCCAACTCTAATGATACTTCATCCGTATAAGATAACCTAAAAGGTTATGCATATGATGATAGAGCGGTGTTAAAGTGGGGTGAGTTGTTCAGAGACTCTGCCCGCTCACGTTCCAAGCAAGCTAAGGCATAAGTAAATAGCGAACCACTCAGCTAACGAGTGACTCGCATGAGTTGGCTCACATTTTAGCTAAAAAGTGCAATTTTCAACCCTAAAAAAAGATGAGTCGTGAGCGACTCTCAAGCCTAACTTTCTTAAGTCAAGTTGGCTCACGCTCGACTTGCCCCACGGGAGAGTGTGAATCAACTCGCCTTATTTGACACCCCTAATATGATACGAGAATTTTGATTACTATATTAGCCAAGAAGATAAAATCCTTTATTTTTTTAATAGAACCACAAAATTAATGTTGAGAAGGGAGAAAATTGAAGGAATTACCTCATACATCTTAGAACTAACTAATGCATTAGTTATCAGCAGAAAATTTAAAGAAAAAACAAAAGAATGTATTCAAAATCTATTTCATACACAGCACCATGAAGATGCAGTTAACAGAAATTTTTCTTGCCATCCAAGAGAAATTGCATTCCCATTATCTCTTTCAAAAACTCGGAAGCCACAATTTTCTCCATCAAAATATGTTGCAGAACAATGGCTTCTTATTTTCAGCAGCAATTTTGCTTGCATTACAGATTTTGAACTTTGTTTAAGCTCCGAAAAACCGTGATTCTCCATTCTTCCTTTCCATGTCTCCATCTTCTCAAACCTCGGACTTTTCTCGTTTTCTTTATCGGAATTCATTACATATTTGATCTCTTTCCCGAGATGGTTTTTTTCGATCCGAAACCTTTCTGCACTATTGAGTGGGAGGCAGTCGTCTAACGAGTCGAACAAGGCTGCAAAATAGTGTAATGATTCCATGAATCTTGATAAAAAGTTGTGAGGGCTTCGACTTCCTTCTTGTTCCACCAGTACAACAATTGAAGGGTTAAGTGAACGCACGTATTTTAGGGTTTCTGATATCATGGAAAAACTGTTCAATGAATTCAGATGGAAAACTAAATTCACTGCAACAGTTTCATTCTTTTTTTTCTTGAGTTTTACAAGCTTGGATCCTCTTACCAGGCCATGGAATTCGAAAACCAGATTGTGGAAAGTTCTTGCGAAACTCACTAGTCTTGTTTCAGTTTCCTGCAGTTCTTCCAAGGTTCTTCCGAAGCCTGTTATTTTCAGCGAAATACGGTTAGAAATTGTTGCAGTTTCTGAAAGAGATTGCATTAGAGAAGGCCATTGGAATCCATATGAGATGTCGAAATCAATTACGTGCAATGCGCGGTTATTATTGGGTTCCTCTCTCTCAAAGGCCTCAAGAATGGCTTGATTGGCTGTGAAATGTGCAAATTGATAAAATGGAGAAACCTTATACAATTCTATAAAGGCAAAAAATTCTTCTTCAGGAGTTGGAGTCTTCATTATCATGTCATAAAATGGCGATTTTCGCGTAAGAAGCCTTGCAATCAATCCATCAGCAAAATAAGCAGCAACTCTTTGGACTGAATCTCCTGTTAAGGAAACATTCTGGTACAAGTCGAAGAGGCTATCCACGGCCGAGTTAATGTTATTTTCATTAATGGACGTGGCGGAAATGAGCAGCAAATGGATCAACTCAAGGCCTTTACCATCTTCAGCCATTTCTTTTCTCCTTTGATCCACCTTTATCATTTGTTCTCTCATTTGAAGAAGGCTAAATATTTTACCCTCTTCACAACTTTCACTTGAATCCGAAGGATTCGAAGCTTCCCTTCTCTTTCTTTTCCTCTTCTCCTCACGCCCCGAATCTGTAACAATGGCTAGTCTAAGACTCAAAAACTCCTCTTCATCGAAAGTACCCTCCATCACAAACATAGCTACAGAGAGAGATGAAATAAATGGAGAATTCGGTAGCTTTTTAAAGGGACGAAAGGAATATAGGAATAAAAACCAAGAACAGTTGTTGTTATGTCCTTGTGCAAGAATTGACCAAGATTACAAGAAAATGGAATAAATTTTCTTGGATTTTCAATGTAAAAATCGAGAAGATTAATATGACTAGGCTTATTATTTTTGCAAAAATCAGTGTTCAAGGTCAAGAATCTGTTTGATTTTTGGTGACAACAATTCATGTTAGAACACTATGAATAAGGTATTGGACTATTTGGTATTTCGGAGATGTCAAGAAATGCCATATTATAGTCGACAAAATACAGCAAAGCATAAAGTTGGGCATCCAACCTACCGTCCTCGGAAGACCTTGTCCAATAGAAATCTCACCTTCTTTGAGATGCCTTCTTTTCCCCCTTCCATGCACCAAATGGTATCTTTTCCCATTGGAGTATTTGTCTTATTTTAGGTTACTAATTTTGAATTGAAGATATAGTTTTTGAGCATGTCAACATTAAAGACTAGAAGGAATTGAAATGTTCTTGTTCATTAGTAGAAAAATGTGAAAGTGTGTTTAAAATGTATATACTTTTTGAAAGGAAAAAAAACAGTTTGACAACATTGTGAAATTTACACAAAATGTTACTTTTCTACATATTTTTAGATACAAATCTTTGATTAGATATTAAGAGTCTGTTAGGGAGCGCTTTTTAAACCAAAAAAATGACTTTTTGAACCGTTGGAAGGAAATAAGGCAGCTATTGTTGACTTTTGATCTCACAAGTAGGACCCATCAGTTGAAAAAAAAAGGGTTACTTTTAGTTTAAAAGCTGCTGAAAGTTTCCACCAGACAAGTCCTAAAAATCTTGCTAATACAATCCATATTGATGTCAATGCCGAGCCTCGGTCAAGCTACTTTGACACTAGAACTCTCGATCCCTCTCGTCAATGAAGACTAGAATTAACAATGAAGATTCAAAACAAATATAAGGGCCTTTCATCACTAGATTAATGTTATTTATCATCGGTCTTAATGTTAGTGAATTCCCTAATTCAATATCTAATAGAATTGTGATGTATCAAATAATAAATTAAGGATAATTCCATTTGTACCGAATGGAGGTTACCAAAAATATGACACCCTCTCACATGCGAGCGGGACCCGTGTGAATAAAAAACTCTCAAATGTGTGGTCTTTACACTCTATTATCAGTGTATGTAAAAGATTAAGTAAAAAAGAAGGTGTACATATAGCATAACTCATAAATTAATAGACTCATTGCCACCTATATTAGTGATAATAATCATTGCTGGCGATAGAAAACATTATTCGTATTTTACTTGGACCATGCTAGTTGTACAATCGAGGTAATAACCTCGGTTGACAACCAGTCATATAAGGGGGTCTACTTTTTTTTTGAATTGTTTAAACATGCTATTCCCGCACACACGTGAGAGGTTGTCAACCTCGGTTATACAAATAGCATTTTCCATCTCACAAATCCAATAGTATTAGAACCTTCTTTTATCAAATTCTAGGCAGTGTAGAATGCAATATCCTATGGCCAATAAAACAAAGGTACAATCTTTTCAAGTTATATAAAGTCTTTGTCATCAACGTCCACGATAATTTAGCAGTAATATACTCAATACTTCTCCTCACAACAAGAAAATAATGCTAAACAAGACTTGATGGGACACCCTTCCATTTAAATTTTCTTTTTCTTATAGAAAAACAAATCTACAGTTTTGGAACTTAATGTTTCAACTTTTGTGCTTGAAGTTTTCTGTTTTTTGTAGTCCATGAATTATTCACTGTGTATTCTACATGCATGTAACAAGCAGCCTGAATACAAGCATTAATTTCAGGCTAATTTCGTGGATATATACACATACACACAATACTATTCTTCAAGTGGCAAAGACGTGTGAAATATTTTAAGGTGTTAATGGGTTGGTGAAAGGATTGGAGGTAGTTTAATATGTTTTGCGAAAAACTTATTCATTAGGTGGTAAGACCTGTTGAGCTTGAAGATTTTGAAACTTGCTTCCAAGTTTTATGTGGTCGAGAGTGTAACATCATCGGTCACGTAACACTACATTATATGTATACACGACTTACATTTATTTTACCTTATTGAAAGGCTTCACCAAATTGTGTGAAAACCCTTATATGTAACAAATTAAAATTCATTCAATAAAAATCATTAAATTTCTATTGCATGGCAAGTTGTTGGCTGCAGAATCAGACAAAAAACTCGATAGTTTCTTCAATGAAACATCTAAAACAAGTATTTCGATGCATACAGAGTTAAACGCTACTTATTTTTTTTTAATGTGTGTGTATTATTTTATTCGTTTAGTACCAAAGTTTCTTCATAAATATTCATTAGTTAGTCTTACATTACTATTTGTCTGTATGTTATAATGACAATAAATTTACTAACTTATAATAGTATATAATTCGAAAGTTGGTAAAATAATTTATTGAATATTCCTCCTCGAAACTACTGTTTGAACGAATCAATATATTCAATAATGCTGCATAAAACATGGGAAGTATCACTAATTTTGGTGAAAAAAAATATATGATTATCTTACATTGCCTATAAAAGAATATTATCAATGCCTCCTCAATATGTGTTGTTGCTGATTCTTTTTCTTGAACCATGAAGTTGACATATGGCAAATTCTTCAATACATATCCTATTATAGATATACATAATACGGTGGCCAAAAATATCATAGTATTTATAGTACACTTCAATTGAGGACATGAGCCAATGTTTTGTCCTAATCTCTACTTAACTATATTGAATAATTTATTTTGGAGCCTTGCTATTAATATAAATTGTCTGTAGGATGAGCTCTCTATATACTGAGATTTATTGGAACTATCTCATATTAAAAATGTAATTTTATTTCAAAATTCGTTCATGATGACCTCTTTTTTCCTAAAAATAAAAAATAAAATCCATGTATGATTGGGATTAATTTGATGATGACCTCTACCTTGATTTTACTGAGTTACATTACATTTCATTCGTTTTATTGCATTTAGATTTTAATGTTTTCTGAATTTGATTGTAACTCATTCTTATTTCTTTTGTATCTCATATATATATTTCATTTATAATTTTATATCCCAATTAACGAGTCGAGCATTCGGAAAACGGTGAGAATTATGACTTGACGGTGTCATATATATTTCAATATTTATGTGTTGAAAGTTTCTCAAAAATATCACTTGATTTTGACATAAATTACTTAGGGTCCGTTTGATAGGTAAATGTGGAAATGAATTCAACTTACATGTTAGTTGGAAAATAAAAACCCACCAACCCATAGGAATTTGTTTTCCATAAAAACAAAGAAAATACAACTTAAAGTGGTTGTACGTTGCAATCAAATGGCTAAAGTGAAATTCTTTTTCTCGGATGTGTGACGATCAAAGAGTGCCCATACAAAACAACCAAGACACCACGAAAACTATCCATCTTAAAAATAGGTGTTTTACCCAAGTACAACCGTTTAGAAATTTAACAATCATGGTTTACTACATGTAGGTCTTCGTTGAAAGATTATCATTTCCACTACAGCTATGAATATAGCAGAAATTCTACAACTTCAATAAAAACAGAAACAAATTCGACACAGATCCTAAATTCAACGCAGAACAGTTAAATTGTAGAACATATTAAAAATTTAAAATAACAGGTGTCTCCTTGCAACTTCGACTATAATCAAAATATCTCGGAAAAGTCAATTACCATAANCCGGACCAATTAATTAATAACCACGTTTAATTGTTTGTCTTCTCTTGCTTATGAATCAAATTTTACCAACCAGCTTTTCATTTCACATTTATTCTCTTCTACTCTAGAATAACTTAAGCACATTGGAAATGGATTATGATACTAATTAACTAAAAATTAGTTTGATCATAGAACTTTTTGTTGAGTTTAATGAATAAAAAATTTCATAAACCATGATAATATTTATTAGTTGGAGCATCTAATTTGTTGGTAATGGACAAAAATGGATGCACGGATAGATACTCTCGGAGCGGATGACATGATTTTTTATTTATTTGCTGTTTCGTGTTGTCATTTTTTATTTATTTTAATAAAAGTAAGATGTTTGGTTAATTTTCAATAGTTTAGGGAAGAACTAGGACCCATTAATGTCGTAAAATTTAGATGAAAGTTCCTCGATATTATCGATTATTCCGTATTCAATTTTTTGAACCAACATATTATATATTCTAAATCGTTGAACTATTCGTAGAAATAATTCTTTAGATTTACTCTTTTTCCTCGTGTTATGATATCGTGTTAGTAACGCTCACAAACACTATAAGAAGATAATATGTGTGTATGTATCTTCAAAACTCGATATTCAAAACTTTAAATTAATTTACGACTTAGCAGGAGAATTTTTTTCTTTTGACCAAGTTTAACAGAAAAAAATTGCAACATTATAGTGTGTATACTTGGTTATTTTTTGAAAGAGATAAATTTATATTTAATGCGCCCATTAAACAAAATAAACTCTCCGCCTCCTCCTTCCAACGATGAAACAAAAGTAAAAACTGTGGTAATAACAAGTTATTTCATTGTCCAAAACAATCGAAATATGCCTCTATTAAGAACAAAACTTGCATGATTCATCGTATAATACGAGATTATGAGATATTATACTATAAATTCTGAAACATGAGGATTGAACTGAGATTACAAAGCTTCAAACATTTGCCTTTTACTTTGTTTTTACTTGCTTCACTTGTCGTCAATGTTCATTATCAAGACTGGACAAGGGTCCTTTCCATGAGAAAATTGAATTAGAAAAAGAAATATATTAATTGTTGTTGCCTGAATTTGGTATGAAACTATATAGAATCTTGTAAAGCTAATTATTTGATTTGAAAGAACAAGACATCGAGATGCTTCCTGAGCATTAGAAAGTTGAGTTATGCATGGCCCTGGCAGTGCAAGGGAGCCAGCTATCCCCATGTGATAGGTGGTGTTGGAGACTGATGGAAAATCCTAGGAAGTTAATTCCTAGAAGTAGTTTTAGACCTAAACTAGCTTACGGTTGGGAAATTTGATGACTTCCACTCGAAGGATTGGAGAATAAAGCAACGAACCAAAACCAAAAAATTGAAGATCACCAATGAAAGTAAAAAACCAAACATCAAACCAGGAAATGGACTTGAAAACGAAGACTGGTGGTTGAACACGATATCGATGTTCTCAAATTATATTTTTGCAGGATTTAAACAATTCTCGTAAAGAATTAACCCTCAAACATCAAATGTAATTCTCCAAAACTTGAAGAACACTAAAGAAGAATTTGAATATGATGAAGAAAATTGTGATTTCTTGTTGTTTTTGTAATGATTTTTGTTCTTGAATATGACTATGGTTTTTGTATTTTTCAACATTATTATAATGATCACAAACCACCTATATATAGTCAAGATACGTGGTCATACTAAGTGGTGCCAAAAAAACCCTCCAAAACCTAGGAAAATCTGAACAAAATGGTCATTAACGACTCTTTTAGCCTCCTATGCGGTCGCATAGTTCAACACTATGCAACTCCACAATTCTCTTTACGACAATGAATTTAATCCATGCCTTGGCCTATGCAACCGTAGCCAAGCGTAGGCCAAAATTTGGTCTCCAAAATTGATTTTCATTCCACATTATTCCTCAACCGTTTTGCATAGGCCAAAATTTGGCCTTCAAAATTGATTTTCATTCCACATTATTCCACAACCGTTTTTTATCAACTTTGAACAATATTTTCAACACTTACTCTCATGAAATGACTAATTCGAGGAGCTCAAAAAATTTAAGAAAACACACACAACGATAAGAAATATCAAGAGGGCGCATGAAATTGAACATTATTATTTTTTCTTTAGCTTCCATTTTTCTTGCATCGATATATTTTCGGGTAATTAGCACATAACGTTCCCAAATTCTTTGTTATTATTGTACAAAACGTTCTTACTTTCCATTTTTTGACATTTTAACCTTTATTTACATCTTTGATTGTGCAAATTGTCATTCCTTCCATTTTCATCCAACTTCTTCGTAAAGTGAACAAGTGCAGTCAATTTTTAATTTTTTTTTTAATGGAAGAGTATTATCGTTTTAAAATATTTTCTTCCCTTCCCCCATCTTCTTCTCCATCATCTACTAGTTGTAATTGGTTTAATGTTGGTGGCAAAATGAGGTAGGGGTTTGAGGGAAAAGATGACGGGGGAGGGGGAAATTAAGGAAGAAGATGGGGAAGGGAAGAAAATGTTTTAAGACAATTATATCCTTCCATTTCGAAAAAAAAATTGACTATACTTGTTCACTTGATGGAGAAGTTGGATAGAAATAGATGGAAGGACGTTTTGCACAATTAAAGGTGTAATTAAAGGTAAAAATGTCAAAAAAATGAAAAGTTTGAACGTTATGTACAATAATAGTGAAATATATGAACGTTATGTGTTAATTACCCTATATTTTCAGTGACTGAGCTAGGTCTGTTGTCCCCCTCTTTAATTTTCAAATTTTTTTTTTATTTTCTATATTATCATAATCCACCTCAGTGGTGGTTTGACTAAAACGTGTAACATTGTGCGATATTAAAGACGGAACATTAATGTATCTTTCAATTCAACAAAATTGGTAGTAAAAAACTCTTCGTGCATACATATATAGAGCAAATCAAACGACTCGTGCTAGCTCGACAAGTGTTTTTACACTTCCAATTTAATGTATGGGATGATATCCCTACTCCATTCATCACAAAAAATATTTTTTCCGATGCGAATGAATTAAATGTTTATTGGAGTAATATTGTTGTGTAGTTAATAAAAATTTTAGTGGAAGTATAATTACCCTATCATTTGATATTCTGTTTTTATCTAAACTTAGGTATCATGAGAATTCACACGTAACTGTCAATTAAAACAACTTTCAAATAAGGATAAATATGACATATTAATGCAACCTTTTTATTTTTATTTATTTATTTTTGTAAACCAAATGGGGGTATATTGGACATATAGCTAAATATGTAATAGTAAAATCGGTAATCAAAAGTTTCTCTTCAGTCCTCCATTTTAATATATTGTAGATTTTTTTTTTTTGTAAACGAAATAGGGGGTATATTTGGCATATAGCTAAATATGTAAAGGTAAAATTGGTATTGAAATGTTTTTCTTCGATTCTCCCTTTTAATATACTTTAGATTTCCAAACATAAAAAAAATTTACAACAAAAGAAATGTGCAAAAAGCATGCAGAAGAAAACAAACCATCTGGGTGGAATTCATCACCACCGATGAAGACACTCTTTAAGAAAATTAATGGCAGCCATAATTTGATGAATCCAGCAATAATGTTGTTGTTGAAAACCTCGTACCCCTCGTTTATTCAAATCAACTTTTTTTCTTGAGCCTTTCTACACGATTAAATGTTCCATCTATATGTTGAAGCCCAGAAACATTCAATATCTCACTGCGCTGAGTCATTTCCTGGGAGCATTTTCAAAGCCAAAATTCCACCGAGTGCAGCTGCAACACCTCCCATAGTAAAGGCTGGTAAGTTGCTACTTCCAAATAGTGAATCCAATGGCCCACTTACTAGGGCCACTAACATCTGTTTCAACATTATACTTAACTTGTTAATCAAAATTTTCCCATGGTAGATGGTGCAGGAAAGCCATAGAAAATAGGACGAACTGAAGATCAAAGCTCATTGATTATAATTAACCAACCATTATTTGGGGAAAATAGAGTTTTGAATAGTGATTTTTATGAAGAATGTGTGGTTAAAAAGTTGGAAAAATTTTTGGGTTTTCATACACAATATTTTATTGTATGAATATATGGTTGAAAATGAATATGTAAAAAAAAATATATATATATATAGTTTGAAAATAATGATTTTCGGGCAATCCACGGATGAGCGTTGGTTTAAACATTCAACTAAGTATTCATTAATTGAAATATTGATTTGATTAATAATTCTGTTGATTAAAGTTGTATCAAAAGTATTGGCAACATAACACAGCTTGGTATGTCTAACAACCGTGAGAGTCTATGGAGAGATAAGGATGCTCGAAATTCTTGGAGTGATAAGGGTGAAGACTCTCACAATCTAGCCTCAATCAGTGGAGAGAAATTGAGTGATCTTGGAGATCTAACAGTAACAAATTCAAACCGAAATGATAATCCACTCGAGCCTTCAAGAAAGGAAAATCAGCAAGATGACTTAACAAACTCCAACTAATGAGGGATACTCTACTGTCAAGCAAGCTGTTACGTTGGAGAGAAGTTTGGCCTTCAAATCAGAACCAACCAGATTCATGGGATCTTTGTTATTATTGTTACCAGATTTCATGGGATTTCTATTATTATTTTTGAATTTGTCAATGTAATTGTGTATAAATACTCCTCTTGTAGAGCCTTAGTGTTCACGTGAAAAATTAAATAAAGAAAACACTTTCTGTATTCTTTTAGATCAAATTCTCTTGAATCATTTTTTCCTTATGGTATCAGAGCTTGTGTGAACACTTGGCAACATAACACAGCTTCTACAATTTTCTTCACAACCTCTACAGATTTCCTTTCTTCATCCTATCTTCTTCTCCTTTCCTTGGATATGACTACCTTATCACTCAATGTTGGCAATTTCATCACTCTCCGACTCACCCCAAACAATTATCCCTTATGGCGTGAGCAAGCCTTGGCTCTTGCAGAAAGCCAAGAATTGGTCGGGCATCTCACAAACGAAGATCCCGCCCCCAACAAATTCACAACTCCAAATCAAAACAATTCAGAAAATGCAGAAAATTCCACTCCACAGTTAACAGATGCTTTCATAGCATGGCGAAAGTCTGATCGTCTCCTTCGAGGGTGGATCATTGGAACGCTCTCTGAGGAAAGTCTTGGACTCGTCGTTGGCCTCGACACAGCTCATGCAGTGTGGGAGGCTCTAAAAAATGCATATGCCCAAGAATCACAAGAACGTGAGTTTACATTGCGACAACAAGTGACCTATCTACGAAAAGAAGACCACGCAACAATTACCGAACACATTAACAAATTCAAAGGTCTCTGTGACAATTTAGCAGCCATTGGGAAGCCTGTTCCAGATCAAGAAAAAGTTTTTTGTCTCCTCACCAGTCTTGGTCCTCAATATGAAACCTTCACAACAACTATGTTGAAGCCCCCCAGGCCGACGTACCCTGAATTGGTCTCTCAACTTCAAAATTTCGATCAAAGGCGCAATTGGTTCTCTAATCACATAGATGTCCCAGCATCTTCCCTCACCCATCAAATGGCTTTTTATGGACAACAACAACAACGCTCCCAATCAAACCCTTTAGGCTATCGTGGACCCTCACAAAAATTCAGCTCCAATGGACGTGGTTTTCAGGCACAACAACAAAGGGACACGAACCATGGCCACAACAACAACTCCTTTTCAACAAATCCACCACGACGCCCTCCACCACCTGGTGAGCGCCGAATGACACCTGTGGAAAGAGACAAATACCGTGAACACTAAGGCTCTACAAGAGGAGTATTTATACACAATTACATTGACAAATTCAAAAATAATAATAGAAATCCCATGAAATCTGGTAACAATAATAACAAAGATCCCATGAATCTGGTTGGTTCTGATTTGAAGGCCAAACTTCTCTCCAACGTAACAGCTTGCTTGACAGTAGAGTATCCCTCATTAGTTGGAGTTTGTTAAGTCATCTTGCTGATTTTCCTTTCTTGAAGGCTCGAGTGGATTATCATTTCGGTTTGAATTTGTTACTGTTAGATCTCCAAGATCACTCAATTTCTCTCCACTGATTGAGGCTAGATTGTGAGAGTCTTCACCCTTATCACTCCAAGAATTTCGAGCATCCTTATCTCTCCATAGACTCTCACGGTTGTTAGACATACCANCTAACAGTAACAAATTCAAACCGAAATGATAATCCACTCGAGCCTTCAAGAAAGGAAAATCAGCAAGATGACTTAACAAACTCCAACTAATGAGGGATACTCTACTGTCAAGCAAGCTGTTACGTTGGAGAGAAGTTTGGCCTTCAAATCAGAACCAACCAGATTCATGGGATCTTTGTTATTATTGTTACCAGATTTCATGGGATTTCTATTATTATTTTTGAATTTGTCAATGTAATTGTGTATAAATACTCCTTCCTCTGCAGGTAGAGTTACGGACAACTCCTCACCTCCATGTCTTAGTCCACTGCTGCCCATTGCTACACATACTCCAGAAACACATTTGCAAAATCCTAGCCCTATTCAGTCACCACATGAATCTGCCCCCATCATTGAGTCAAACAACACTGGTTTACCTGGAACATTTCCAACACAAGACCCTCATATGACTATCACAGCTCCACCAATAGTGATTGAAACACCCGAATTATCTCACCATAGTTGTGTCTCTTCAGCACCATTGGTTCACCCGATGGTCACTCGGTCTCAATTAGGGGTGGTAAAACCAAATCCCAAGTATGCCTTAAACACAATCACATCCTCTAATATACCTCGTGAGCCTCACAATGTAAAAATTGCCTTAGCACATCCTGGTTGGAAAGCAGCCATGGATGAGGAGCTACATGCACTGCATAAAAATGAGACTTGGACACTTGTTCCACGCAAGCCAAACATGCATGTCATTGGATCTAAATGGGTGTTTAAATCAAAACTCAAACCCGACGGCACTTTAGATCGTCTCAAAGCACGTTTAGTTGCAAAAGGGTATCATCAAATTGATGGAGTGGACTACACTGAAACTTTTTCTCCAGTTATCAAACCAGGGACAATACGCATAATAATCACCATAGCTCTTGTTCAGAAGTGGTCCATTCGTCAACTGGATGTGAAAAATGCCTTTTTGCATGGTTTAATTTCTGAAGAACTTTACATGCAACAACCCCCAGGAATGACAGATCCTCAACATCCGACACACGTTTGCAAACTACAAAGAGCGCTTTATGGCCTAAAACAAGCACCACGTGCCTGGTTTGATCGATTTAGTTCATTTTTTCTTACATATGGCTTCTTTTGTAGTCTGGCTGACCCTTCATTGTTTGTCTTTCATTCGGATTATGGCTCATTAATCTTACTCCTTTATGTAGATGACATGTTACTCACTGGATCAACTCCAACACTTGTTTCAGATTTTATTCAGTTGCTAAGCTGTGAGTTCGCAATGAAAGATTTGGGTCCTATTCATCATTTCCTAGGGATGGAAATCACACCAACATCAAGTGGCCTTCATCTATCCCAGTCACACTATGCCCTTACCATACTCGAACGATCCGATATGGTTGATTGTAAGCCCATGAGTACACCTCTTGAAGCTAAAACGAAAACATCTTCCAATGATATTTTTTTGGAAGATCCAACTTACTATCGAGGACTTGTTGGAGCTCTACAGTACTTAACACTCACTCGCCCTGATCTTTCATATAGTGTTAATTATGTATCTCAATTCATGCATGCTCCCACAATGACACATTTAAAAATGGTCTGACGTATTTTACGATATGTCAAAGGAACAATTGACATGGGATTACATTTTTCCTCACACACTACACTTGATCTGTTTGCTTTCTCCGATGCAGATTGGGCAGGGTGCACTACATCGAGGCGCTCAACTACTGGCTATTGCACATTCCTTGGACAAAATCTAATCTCTTGGTGTGCAAAAAAACAACATACAATTTCCCGATCAAGCACAGAAGCAGAATACCGCGCCATGGCGAACACAGCAGCTGAACTCACATGGATGTCCTTCATTCTCAAAGATCTTCGCATTACATTACCATCTTCTCCCATACTCTATTGTGATAACCTTAGTGCTCTTCATATGACAATAAATCCTGTTTTCCATGCACGAAGCAAACATATCGAGTTGGATTATCATTTTGTGCGCGAACGCGTTGCACGTGGACTACTTGTCACTCAACATATTTCCTCTGATAGTCAAGTTGCTGACCTCTTCACAAAACCAATGTCAAAAGCAGCTCTTCATTATTTCCGCAACAAACTTTGCCTCCAACCCCGGCAGCGTTTGCGGGAGGGTATTGGCAACATAACACAGCTTGGTATGTCTAACAACCGTGAGAGTCTATGGAGAGATAAGGATGCTCGAAATTCTTGGAGTGATAAGGGTGAAGACTCTCACAATCTAGCCTCAATCAGTGGAGAGAAATTGAGTGATCTTGGAGATCTAACAGTAACAAATTCAAACCGAAATGATAATCCACTCGAGCCTTCAAGAAAGGAAAATCAGCAAGATGACTTAACAAACTCCAACTAATGAGGGATACTCTACTGTCAAGCAAGCTGTTACGTTGGAGAGAAGTTTGGCCTTCAAATCAGAACCAACCAGATTCATGGGATCTTTGTTATTATTGTTACCAGATTTCATGGGATTTCTATTATTATTTTTGAATTTGTCAATGTAATTGTGTATAAATACTCCTAATTCTCTTGAATCATTTTTTCCTTAAAAAGTCCAAGTTTTGAATCTTGGTTTTAAAAAACAAGAATACGCTAATAACGTAAACTTAAAATTTAATCAATATTTTGAACAATAGCTTAAGTCACGTCTGATAATAAAAGAAATATAGCATCATAGGATATGGGATTGGAAAGGCTTTTTCTTAACTATTTTATCTCGATCGAAACCCTATAGCACACAGAATAGTTTTGACTGTTGATGAAGAAAAAGAAATTAATAATCTATTATATAGATTGTTTAGTCTAGCCAAATACTAAAAATAGAACATGCAATATATCGTCTAAATATTCAAGCAGGGCGGAGGGAAGGGGGGTAAGTCCATGGACCCAATTTGTTTTTGAATCATGATACATGTACAACATTGGTTGACAACATCCTATTCGGAATCATCATATTCATCCATTTTGAAAACTGTTTTCTACGTTAAATATTAAGATTTTGACAACACATGATTGTCAATTATTATTGTCAACCAATGTTGTATATGGAGAAAAAAATTCTTAATGAGAATTCTTTTTTTCAATGTATCGGTCCAGTATAAAATAATAATAATAAACCAATTGTCCCCCTTAACTCCGCCTATGTATTCAAGGACGGAATGATACTTACTTGTGGAATTACAATGGCAAGATTTAGAAGTCCCAACGCGAGCCCTTGAGAAACTCAAAGCACCGAAAATAAATTAAATTAGACAAACTATGCTAATTTTTTGCCATTAATTAATGCAAAAAGAAATTTTCGTATGGAACTGGTCTATCACTTTTGTTGGAATATATGGAAGCTAGAGCGAAAGGAATGGTGTAAGTGACCTGCAGAATTGCAAACAAGTATAAATTAACTTATATATACTTAAACATTTCAGTTTGAAAAAATGGACTAGTTGAAGTGTGACACCACCCATATCAAGTAAAACTAGTGTACTATAGGATGTGATATATTGGTGTTCACGACTCATATCGAGTTGAACTAGTGGTCTTGATACGTAACATTTCAATGTTCAAAAGGTGACTAAAACAATTGATCTCAAGTTGAATTAGTGGTCTCAAAATGTGAGGTGACTTACATGGTCCATGTTGAGTAAAATTAGTGGGCTCGAAATGTGATATATTGATGTATAATATGTGAATAATTAACATGCCTACTCATCGTGAATTAAAGTAGTAGACTTGAAATGTGACATGTTAATGTTCATAAGATAACTAATGAGAACCTGAGTTTATTAATACGACTCATGTCAAGTAAAATTAGTTACTCAAAATGTGACATGTCCATGTTCAATAGTTGACTAATTAACACGACTATTCATCTCGAATTAAAGTAGTTAACTCGAAACGTGACACGTCGATGATCATGAAGTGACTTTACCGCTTGAGGTATACCCAAGGCTGTGAAAAGAGCAAAATAAGACACTTTCACTTCAAGAGGTGGCGGAATAAGTGCAGATCCAGTTTCCTTGAGAGCAGTATGCCGAGCATCCTCAGCCATTTTTGTGATCAACAACGTTAATCCCATACAAGCTGCAAGAATCATATTCCCAATGCCCCAAACACGTCTTACACTCCCAAGAAACCTCAAAATTGGCTCCATGAACAAAGACACAACACCAAGCATAACCACATACAATATTAATCCCAACGAACCTTCTCGTATACCTTGATCATACATTTTAATTTGCAATGGATCACCCACAGGACTTCCTCCAAACACTTCCTTGCCCATCCAATCTGTATCATACAGTATAAATGGAAACCAACCTACCCAAGTAAGCGCTGTTATCACATATAAGATTTTCATTGGCTCTGATATACTCCTAATGGCTGTGCCAAGTTGAGTCAAAAGTGATGGGGCCACTTCTTCCCCATTAATGCCCTGTTTGTATTGCATTAAATTAGAAGGATCAAGCCTTTCTTCCTTAACTGTAACACAAACTAATGTGATTATGACTGCTATGAGGAGAATAGAGATGAGAAAACACGTTTTTAGGTTTGCACAGTAGATATCACAAGCTTCAGTTTTTGTGAATGGAAGAATGTGATAAATATTCAAGTATGCACCTGCAGCATAGCCTAAGATATTCCCTACAGCCATGTAAAAGGCGAAAAGCGCATTTCCAATTGTCACCATTGCATCATTACCTTCAGAAAGATCAGCCAAAAGCGCTCTACAAGGACTTTGTATTATATTATTCGCTATATCCAAAATCCAAAATCCCAGCACAAAACAAGCAACGGCTCTTGGTTTACTCCCGTAAATAAGTGAATCGCCTAAAGCGCGGCCTATATCAGCCGCGAAGCCAATGAGAAGTACCCCAAAGGAGAGGAGGAGGGCACCGGCCACGATATATGGGCGGCGCCGCCCAAAACGCGAAGTGCACCGATCACTATAGTACCCAACTGTAGGTTGGAATACCAAGCCAGAGATTGGGCCGCAGAGCCAAACAAAGGATACCCAAGCATGTTTTACACCAAGAAGTTGTGTGTATGGTGTCAAAAGTGATAATTGCAATGCCCATCCATATTGCACCCCGGCTGCTATTGAGGCTACAATTGCTAACTTTTTTAATGGATTTGATGTAAATACTGGTTGATGAGGCTCAGTTTGAACATAATTACATGCTGAATGAGGCTGAGGATCTTCGAGGAAAACCATGAATATATAATATATAGGTTTACTTATACACACACAAAAAAGAAAAAAAGAGAAGGAATTTTATGCCTTCCTTTGTAAGTTTACATGTATGTATTGCCAGCGTATCCAAGAAAAGAAGGGAAGGATACCCCAGACAAAAAGTTCAAGAAATTAAAAGGAAAACAGTGGTTTATTTTTCTTTTAGAACGAGAAGATGTTGTCGTTCAAGGATAAAGAGATTGATGGACCGAAATTGTAGAGAGTTATTTGGTTAACCATTCATATTGAGATGTTTTAGGAAAAATTAAAGATGTCTGCTCTTCTACTACATATTTTTCCGCTTGTCCAAGATTTCTTCAATTTACCTTCAATGGACTCTTTTAAAATAGAGACTCTCTATTTATATTTATCATGATTATATTTAATAAAAATTACAAGTTCCAATATGTCATTACTTAATTATTCATATCATATTGAATATTTTAGCTATCGACATTAAAACTTATATACATAATTGAAAAAATGATGGAAAAGATATAATTGATTGTTGGAAAAAGTAAATAAAGAAAAAATAGATAAATAGTTTGCGGGAGTTAATAAAAAATTACTTTTTAAATTTAAATGTATAACCAATATGTTCATCAAAAAACTAAAGAGTAAAATTAATAACTCGCCGCATAACAAAGCACATTCCCACCGTGTGAAATTAATATAGGGGTTGGGTAGTTATGAATTTATCTATCAAGTGAATTCAGATAAAATTATTAGTAACTTTTTAAGAGGATTAATAGTATTTATTGGGTCCCATAAAATGTGTGGTTAATAAATATATGATAGTTATTAATGAGTAAGTATGTTAACATATGACTCTCACATAATTAAAAGTAACTTTTAGTTAGTGCATTTTCTTTTGCTTCTTTTCCTAAGTATGGAATTGAAGGTTCGTGTAAAATGAAATTTCAAAAAGAAAATTGAGAGAAGACTTCAATTTGGTATTTAGCATTAGATAGAATTAGATTAGGTCAAGAGATATATTTAATTTGTTTCCATCAACATTAAAGCATCCCCAACCTTGCACTTTATTTTAACTAGTCAACGTTGAACGTGTATTGCACTTTATTATAAAATATTTTATAGGTATTGTAAAAATGATATTTTAATATGTATGAATGTTAATTAAATTAGAATTAATACCAAAAAACTATATACGTGAAAATATATGTTAAATCATTTATTTAATTTCCAATTAAGGGGGTGTTCGATGGATATTATTGAGGAATGAATGTATTTTAAATAGTGATAT